GCCACCGCCTCTCCCGAGGGCGCGTACTAACCAGGATGTCAGACAAGCTCAAGGAACGCAAAGTGAGTCGGCTGAGCCCAAATGGCACTTGCGCCTGTCTCTTATACACATCTAGATGTGTATAAGAGACAGGGGGGGGTGGGGTCAGGCTCTCAGGGAAAGGGGGCGTTTGCGCGTTCCTTGCCAGTCTCTAAGACTGCGCAGAGGAGAGGGCGGGCCTCAAATGGGAACTTTGGCCAGAAAAATGTGGTGGGAGGTGCCCTGCACCCGCTCTGGGCTCCCGTGGCAAAGGGGCGCTCAGGGTGTGTCCGTCCTGTGGGCTTTCTCGTTCCTCCAGCAGAACTTTTAGCGGAGTTTGCCAACTACTTCCACTATGGCTACCACGAGTGCATGAAGAACCTGGTGCATTACCTCACCACGGTGGAGCGGATGGAGACCAAGGACACCAAGTACGCGCGCATCCTTGCCTTCTTGCAGTCCAAGGCCCGCCTGGGCGCGGAGCCCGCCTTTCCGCCGCTGGGTTCGCTCCCGGAGCCGGATTTTTCCTACCAGCTGCACCCTGCGAGGCCGGAGTTCGCTGGCCACAGCCCGGGCGAGGCCGCTGTGTTCCCGCAGGGCTCTGGGGCTGGGCCTTTCCCCTGGCCGCCTGGCGCGGCCCGCAGCCCCGCACTGCCCTACCTGCCCAGCGCGTCAGTGCAGCTCGCGAGCCCAGCGCAGCAGCACAGCCCCTTCCTGACGCCGGTGCAGGGCCTGGACCGGCATTACCTCAACCTGATCGGCCACGCGCACCCCAACGCCCTTAACCTGCACACGCCCCAGCACCCCCCGGTACTCTGACGCCCACCAGATTTCTCTGCGCTTTGGGCGCTGCTTAGGAGAAATGCTATATATATTGTACACATGTTGTGTAAATATTGTACCCCCCAAAAAACTGGGCATGGGGAGGCAAAGAGCGAACGCGTCTTCTGAAGGATCTTCCCCTGGTAATAAACGTTTTCTGATAAAGACCCAAAGAGAGGGATTTATTTATTATCTTCTGCTCATCCCCAACCCATCCCCTCCGCGGTGCCAAGGGCGCAAGGCTGACAGGGCTCAAGGTAACAGCCCTCAGTAATTTGGTGAGGCGCCCGCTGCGGAGTCTGAGGGAGGCGGACGTCAAATGCAGGTTCAGACAGATATTCTAGGCGTCGCTGAAGGGCGGGATTCGCGGCTCCCTGCACCTGCCCAGCGCGCATCTTGAGCATTAGCCTCAGAGAAACAGGGGAGGCGAAGAACACTGCCCTTGGCTCTCAAGAAAGTGCAAATTGAAGGACCTGCCCCAAACTGACTTAGGCGGACTGTTGCCAGCTGCGACCCGGCGCGCTTCCTACCCGGAGGCAAGTGCCCGACGCGCGCACCGCACGCCCGCGGGTCTGGAATGCGGCGAAACCCGGGCCAAAGCCGGGGCGCGTGGCTGAGTTTACAGTCTTAAAAAACCTCTGAAAAAAATACCGGAACCAAGTACAGTTCTGAGTTGAGGATTGGAAGCATCACTGCTGACAACTACTCAGCGCCAGAGGCTTCCAAGAAGCTGGTGTTGCCTTTTGCGCACAAAGCAGGCCAGCTTCGGAGGCGCTGGGCGTCTAGGCGAGAGATCCACACAGGCCGGGTTGGGAGACGCCCCTTCCCCACCCCGTAGGGGATTGTTCCCTACTCGCCATCCTCCACCTTTCGGCCACTGGTGCAGGATGGAGACCCTGGGCTCTCCGTTTAAGTTCTCAGGCTTGGAGAGAAAAGTCCTCCTTATCCTTTCCCCAGTGTGATTTTTTTTTTTTTTTTTTTTTAATCTCGCTCCACCCCGAACGTGGTGAGGGAAGTTTGGAATCCAGGAAAGACTTGGCTAGTGGTCTTTTAAGGGGATTGTGATTTTCAGTTCCAGGGCATCTGTGCCCTACCCACAAAATAGCGATACATCTAAAAACGGCAAGCTAAAATCCTGTTTCTCTAAGACTCAAAGGGCAAAACAGGGCTCCCCGTCGTTTTGTGTAAATAGGTAAAATAAACAATGTATCCAACTGGCTAAATTTGCGTTTGTGGGTATTTAAATTTTTCTTTGAACTTTTGTGCCTCATTAATTTTAATGCCTTTTAAATAAATAATTCGAAATTAGGTAGCACGTTTTCCTCTTTGTTTTCAGAGGCCATTTCGCTGAACTGTGGTGATTTGTCTTCTCCCAGATCCGCTGGAAGACTATAAATTAACTTATTCTATTTTCTCTGGACAGGGTTTAAGAAAGCTCTGACCTAGACTGTTTGCTGAGGTCATGGAATGGGATGACCTGCAATTTGTAAACCATCAAACTTCATTATGCACAGACAGGGAAAAAAAAAAAAAAGAAGAAGAAGAAGAAGCCCTCATTACATTGCTCGTAAAGTGAAAATTACACGTATATGTTTTGCCAGGAGAAAATCTTAAACTTTAGAAACGGTCTTGCTTGTGAGAGGTTCTTGAAATAACTTGTCTATAAAATGTGAGCTCTCTCCCTTCTATGAAGTGATAGAGCTGGAGCATGGAAGTGAGAGTGAGACCAGGCGGCCCTCCCGGATAACAAATATACATTGAGCAATATGGGATAAAAACAAATTATGCAGAAATGGGGAGAAAGGATGGTGCCTATTATTGGAACACATGTCTTACACCCATTTTCATCACGCTGGATACAGAATATGAAGAAGGCCTTTCAGGGTTTTTTTCTCTGAGCATTAAGCCAGTCTGAATTCCCTTCGGCAGTGAAGCATTAAAGATATAGTGTTACCCTGGAAATATAAATTATTAATAGATTCAGCATTTTTGTCACTTCTCAACTGTTAACCAAATTAGACAAAACTTTCTTTTGCTAAGTAGATTTTCTCTTTGGGATTAGCTTTGGGAATGCACAGGGCCACCGCAGTAAAAACTGCCGTCATTTACATATAATTTTGCAAACTTCCACTGGCCCATGACAGTCTTTGTACCTCAAATGTTGGTATTCTTGATTTTTTCCCTTTCTCATTTAACTGTAGAGGATAAAACCCTGCTTTGGATTTACAATGACTTTAGGATAAAAGTCTCCCTCCCCTTTCTCTCTTTCCCCCTTTCTCTCTCTCTCTCTCTCTCCCCCTGTGTGTTCGTGTACATGTGTATGTTTTGTGTCTTTTTCTGAAACCTTCACCCAAAGTCCCAATTCTCCAGGCTTGGCTAAAAGTCAATCTTGGAATAGTTTGACTTTGCAAAAGATTAAAAATGTCACTACAAAATGGAATGGATTCAAATCTGATTGTGACGTGAATGTGTTCTTCTTGCAGTGTCTCTGACAATACATTACCCCCGGCTTCCCAGCTACAGCCCCCGCTCCTGTCTCCCTCTGTCTGAGTCTCTCATGCCCAATCCCTCCACTTTCTTTAAGTAAGTTGTATAGTAATGGTTTCCAAGAGAGGCCCAACCAAACCTAGAAATAACAAAAAACAGTGGGTTTGGGTGGAGGTAACCCATTGTGATGCTTCTGAAAGGGGCAACCTCTTTTTTCTTGGGCTTCATCCTTGAGCGGGCAAGAATAAAAATAATCATCCCCATGAAATCAAAGGTTTTCTCCAGAAGCTCGAGGAACAAAGCTGATGGCTGGTGCTTGGGGTGGGTCCCTGTGGCCCAGCAGGGCTGGAACTAGTCGCTTCCAGGCCCTCCAGCCGCCCCTGCCGAAAGGGCGGTAATACAGAGCTCACTTGTTCTTCCAAGCGTTGTTGAACAAAGACAGCCCCGTGTGGCAGTGAGAACCTCTCCAGTCCAAGCTGCTGGATATCAGGAAAGGAAGGTGGAGGAGCTGCCATGGGAAGTGCCTGAGCCCACAGAGGCATGGACCTCTGGAAACCTCGTAGTGGGTGTCTGCAGAGAGTAACAACAAGAAATGAAAGGCCTCATGGGTGTGAGGAAGAATTCCATAAATACTTGAGGAATGGCTGAATGAACTGCCTAACAGTGCTGAGCTCTTGGAGTTCTGTATCAGGTCCTCCCTATCCTCAGTTGCCACCCTGTGTCATCAGAGACTAGCTAGTAATTGTACATCCACCCAGAAATCCATGGAGACCGCACACGCATTCTGAGGACTGTCAGAAGGAGCAACAGTCTTGCCTTTGCCTGGACATTCTACCTTGTGGTCTGGCAGCAGGAGACCATGCCTGGCCTGCTTGGGTAGGGCAGTGAACTCTCCCCACAGGTCCAGCTAAATGCAGAACACAACTGCAGAATTTGGGTTCAGAACTAGCTTGATGGAGTTCTGCTCCTTTCACATGGGAAAGCTCCAGGTGGGGCCAAGTCAGCTTCCACCCTCCTTTCTGCTTCATTTATGATTCAGAGTATAGCTTCTGGAGTCAGACAGCCTGGATGTGTATTCCAGCTCTGCTGTCTACTAGCTGTGTGACTTTGGACAAGTTGTTCGGCCTCTCAGAGTCTCTGTCATCATCGATAACAAAAGCTATCACAAGTGCATACTCCCTAGAGTTGCTATGAGGATTCACTGAGTTGGGACATCAAAGCACTCCTGACAGTGCCTGGCCCATACAGAATGTTCAGTATATGTTAGCTATTATAATAAGTTATTTTTAATCTACTCTGCCTTCCAAAGAGTTAGATATTTAGGGCCAGTTCAAGCTACAAAACAAAATGCCCAGGCAAATGCTGAGAAAAGTCTTTAATCCCAGGGCTTTTTAAACCCCCAAGGCTTGCTCTGGAACAGACAATTGTCTTCATTTAGGAGAAGTCAGGATAGGGGCTTCTAACTTCATCCCACCATTAGCCTTGGAGTCCTGCGCCCTGCTTCAAGCTATGATTGGTTGTCAGATCCCCTCTACTAAATTTGGAATGCTATCCCTTACAAGCTTTTAGGTACAGAAATTTGGCCTCATGTTGTTGTATGACAGCTCTTGTACCTACAGCTACACACTCCCTACAGTGTAATGCCTATTCATGTACAAATCTTGGCCATTGCGAATATTTTTTGGCCCATGAGGGACACAAACTAATTCAATGTTCCTTAAACACACTTTTGGTAGCACTTCAATGCTCTTCTCAGCCTCCCCCTCACTTTCTGTTTAAGTTTGCCATTCCATTTTTCCCTTTTGCCTACCGTATTTATCACCTACCGCTCCACTCCCTGAGGAGTCAACCCGAGATGCAGGTTCCAGCCCTGCTGCAGCCCCCCAGCTCCCTGGACTCTGTCCCCCAACTCCCCTCCCTTTCCTGCTTGGCCTTCAGCTCTCCTTCTCCCTGGTTTTCTGGTTCCTGAGGTCTGACTCCCCAACACCCACGGCCTGGCCAGAGGATTGATCCATGTACATGTGTGCCCGATACTTACATGTGTGTCTGCGTTGAGAGGGACTCTTATTCCCACTGCTCCTGGCTCCATGTGGAGGGATATTACTGGAGTGACAGTCAGCACCTCTCCGCATGCCTTTCATATTCCTCAGGGATCTGATTGGAGTGTTTGGAAGCAGGACCCAGGCATGCTCCACTCAGCCCCTTTCTCTTTGGTGTCAGCCTGCCCACAGAAGGCAAGCAAGCATGCCCGACAGGCTGGTTGGAAGATGTCTAGCTCTTCCTGTGCTTGTGATGGATAAGCTTAATTCCTTTTTTTTTTTTTTCTTGAGATGGAGTCTCGCTCTGTCGCCCAGGCTGGAGTGCAGTGGCGCGATCTCAGCTCACTGCAAGCTCCGCCTCCTGGGTTCAGGCCATTCTCCTGCCTCAGCCTCCCGAGTAGCTGGGACTACAGGCGCCCGCCACCACGCCCGGCTAATTTTTTGTATTTTTAGTAGAGACGGGGTTTCTCACCATGTTAGCCAGGATGGTCTCGC